CTGACTGACCTTAAACTGATCGACTCTCTCGAGCTTTTCCAAATCCGGGACCAGTCTCACTCCATCTTCCAGAGTTTTAAGGAATTCTACTTGAAACTCCACCATTTCGGTTAAATTTCCGAAGAGCACGTCAAGCTGGAAAATGAAAAGGAGTTTAACCGACGTCATCCTTCTCGTTAGTGTCCAGAAACGACTCGCTTCTGATCTCAACCTCTTCCTGCCGATCCTCGGGGCGAAGATAACGGTCCCCCCAGGGGCGGGAGCGCCTCCTCTCTGGGCGCTGTGACTTGGCCTTTCTGCTACAGTGAAAGGGATCGGACGTGCTGTTACCCCCCCTCCCACCCAGGTGACTGCACACGTACCTCATCTTGGGTGAGGAACGTCTCCTTCTGCAGGGGCTTCAGGTATCTCTCCATGAGACAGTTCAGGTCCTGAGGGTGGAAAGAACAGCTCGTGAACAGAGTCTTCACGTCTACAAAGAACCCAAAGGAGAAAAACCCGGTGATGTTCCAGAGGCCGGCGGTCCGGTCTTTAGGCCACGAAGGTGCTTGTTAAAGGAGCGAGCGCGCTTTTCTGCAACCCGTCCGGCTTTGCAGCCACGTGCTCAGGCGGCAGCTGTAACAGGAAAGGGGCAGGTGGCACGTGAATGGACTGCGTTCCAATAAAACTTTATTTGTAAAAGCAGGCAGAGGGCTGGCCTCGGCCCAAGGGCCGCAATGGGTTGACCCTTGATTTCAAGACTAAAACGGCCCCAGCCAGTGTGGCTCAGTGGGTCCCGGGTTCGATTCCGGTCCAGGGCATGCACCTTCGTTGCAGGCTCCTCCCTGGCCTGGGCCCTAGCCCAAGGGCCACAATGGGTTGACCCTTGATTTCAAGACTAAAACGGCCTCAGCCAGTTTGGCTCAGTGGATAGAGCATCAGCCTGCAGACCAAAGGGTCCCGGGTTCAATTCCAGTCCAGGGCATGCACCTTCGTTGCAGGCTCCTCCCTGGCCTGGGCCCTGGTTGGGGCACGTCCAGGAGGCAACCAATCATTGTGCTTCTCTCACATGGATGTTTCTCTCTCTTTCCCTCTCTTTTCTCTCTAAAAATCAATGGAAAAATATCCTCGGAGGAGGATTAACAAAAAAAGAAAGACACGGATCATTGAAAACAGATCATGCTGTTAGTACATCGTTTCGTGGTTACGTCGCCATCTCCCATTTATTTATATTAAAAAAAAAAGTTCCGTCATTTCGACGTTTGTACACATGTGCTTTATGTTTTTTATTATTTATTTACCACAAGTAAAGGTCAGGAATTGTTCTCTTTCTTTTAAATTTTTTTACTGTTTCACTTCATTGCTGCTGTGTCTGTGCTCCATGTGAGTGACGTAGGTGCTTATGGAGGTGGGTTCGAGTTACGTCGCACCGTAGGAACGGATCTCCCACGTAACCCGAGGACCTGCTGTACAACTAAATTGTATGTAGGAATAAGTCATCACTATAGTTATAGGAACTGTTAGAAATGCTGCCGCTACATGTGTGATGGAGAACTGAACGTCAGAACCAGTGATACCACAAAGGAAACGGGGCTGGTCCCTTTCTGCCGGGACTCAGATTCGCTTTTGAAGATAAATTTTTCCAAAACTCAATTCCACCGTCGTATCAGCTCAGCAGCATTCACAACTCGGACAGGTCAGAGGGGCCACACTTGTGCTCACCACCATCTCCTTTCTCAGTCAGTGGGCGGACAGGGAGGGGCAAAGGTCGGGTTACAGCTGTGAGTACTCGAAGCACAGAGTTTATTCGTGTATTTTATTTATTAACTAGAGGCACGGTGCACAACATTCATGCACTGGGGGGGGGGGTTTGAGGGGGGAGCGGGTCCCTCAGCCCGGCCTGTGCCCTCTGGCAGTCCGGGACCCCTCAGGGGATGTCTGAGTGCCAGCTTAGGCCTGCTGCAAGGCTTAGGCCCGCTCCACGTAGGAAGTGGGCCTAAGCCGGCAGTCGGACATCCCCCGAGGGGTCCTTAACGCTGCCACGGAGGCAGGAGAGGCTCCTGTCACCGCTGCTGCGCTCATCAGCGTGAGCCTGGCTTCTGGCTGAGCAGTGCTCCTCCTGTGGCAGTGGTCGGCAAACTGCGGCCCCTTGAGTGTGGCTCTTCCACAAAATACCACATGTGGGCGCGCACGCACAGTGCGATTGAAGCTTCGTGGCCACACTCAAGGGGCCAAAGAGCCGCATGTGGCTCACGAGCTGCAGTTTGCCGACCACTGTCCTGTGGGAGTGCACTGACCACCAGGGGGAAGCTCCTGCATTGAGCATCTGCCCCCTGGTGGTCAGTGCAGGTCCACTGTTTGGTCAATTTGCATATTAGGGTTTTATTATATAGGAAGGATTGTGTAGTTTCCATAGGAACAGCTGTAAACCTACTGTGGCCCCGCCCTGACATCGCAGGGAATTGCTATAAGAACTGCCCTGCTCCCTTAAAACACAAAAGAAAATCTTAACATTTGGGATAAAGGCCACCATCTATGGGAGAGGAAGAGGTTGCCTTGGTTCTGTGACCTGGCTCTGCTGTTTGAGAAACGGTGGAAACAGA